TTTCAGTGTTTCCATAAGGAAATTGCCTTTCTTTTGTAACTACAAAAAAAAAAATTTGGAAAGTATTTTTCCTAGGAAAAAACTAAGGATGACTAAAAGATAATCAAATTCACTCTAATCAAAATTTTGCTCTTATCTGGGGTACTTTAGACATGGAAAGGTACAATTGCTTTTATCCTCACCCGAGGATATGGTTATTGATTTGAGAGAGAGAGGAAAAAAAAAACAACGATGTGAGAAAAAAAATTAATTGGTTGCCTCCCAGAAATCGAACCCTCAATCTAGGTATGTGCCCTGACCAGGAATGGAAACCACAACCTTTTTGGGTAATGGAAGATGCTCTAACCAACTGAGCCACCCTGCCAGGGCAACAAATACAATTTTGAAGAACAGCAGCAATCACATTTTAAGTTTAACAAAAGAGCACAATTTCTATTATCTTTAAGACAGACATCAAAGAAACAAAGTCTTTATCCTTAGGAAGACATAAGCATCTAATAATCTACAAGCAAACCATATTTTTGTTGCTATTGGTTAAAAACAGTCCATTTACAAAGTGAGTTTAGGTTTATCCTCTAGAAATGTTTAATTCCAGACTGACGTTCCCAAATTTTTATGCAAATTAATTAAAACATTAGCTTGAGTCAAACTTAATTACCAGGGCTCCAGGAAGCAATCATGTGATCTATTTATAAAGAAAATTGATTGGATTTTTGGATTATCTTTTCTAATGGTCCCTCCCATTAGTATGGATGACTGCGTTAAATGTATAAAAAATATACATATAAACTGCAGGATCCTTTAAGTTTTTTTGTATCTCAGTCAGGAGGGATTAGGGCAAAGGACAGGGGGTAGAATTCAACTAGACTGAATGTGGAGAGGTAAACATAAAGCTTGCCCCATGGGGTCAAGAAAGCAAGATGGAATGTGGAATATCTGAGTGCACTGGAGAGAAAGGCAGATGGGCTGGAGTCATCCTTAACCGGCAGCAGGCCTGGGTACCGGGCAAGGAACCACACATACCTCTGTGTGATATGCCAAATCCTGGCTTGGTTCAGGAATAAGCAGATATGATTATTCTTAGATTTCAAAGCTATACACTTCATTTCTTTTTTTTTTTTACTATCAGAAAAATTAGAAAGGAGAAAATATATGCATTTCCATTTCAAGCAAAGATTAGTAAAATAGGTAAACACAATAGTGGGACAAGAGAAAAAGGCAGAGGAGAGAAATACTACACAAAAGTCTTGCAATGGCCTCTCATCCACAAAGTGAAGTGACAGACTTGCTGGTCACAGAGAAAAGCCCTAGTTAGTAATCATCAACAGCCATAGGCTAACCATGGTGCAGCCCCACCGTATCAGCAGTGCTCCTGGCCCTGATCTCCCTATTCCTGATAGCCTTCCTCTAAAAACGTCCAAGTGGAGCAATGGGACTGGATATGCACAGGGTGGCTCGCTTCTCCTCTCTGTCTTCATTGTACAGATCACAAATAACAAGTTCAGTTCCCAGCAATGACTTTGAGAGTTCCCAATATTCCCAGTGAGAGAGAATGAGGCTCGGTCAATAAACAGTGAAGGTTCCCTCTCAATATCATCTTCCCAAATATAAATGTCAATGTGACTAGAAACTTTAGCAGGAGACATAGCCTCATATAAGCCAAATATAGAGAGAATATAAGATATTATCTAGTCTATTTGGCCTTAAAAATAGTAATGAAAGTAAATCCCAAAGAGCATCCAGTTCTCCTTTCCTGGTTCTTTGCCATCAATATAGTATATGAAGAGCTTAGTAGCCTAAGGCAGTTATTGCTAAAAGGTGTGTGGGAAGTAAGTTACAGTCCCTGATTACTATTTACAGATATTGATGGGTACTATAATAAAGGGAAAATTAAATAGTTATTTATTGATCACTCCTTATCAGTAGGTGTTGGGAAGGAAAATACGAATAAAACACAATATCTGTCTTCACAATGTTTATAACCTGGTAAGAGAGACTAAAGCAGACAAAGCTATTACAGTGGGGCCTTGACTTACGAGTTTAATTTGTTCCGAGACCGAGCTCGTTAAGGAGCTCGTTAACTCAAATTACTCTATCAACTCAATGCAAAAAATTGTCCAAGAGACAGCTGGTATCTCAAAAAACTTAGTTGGGACACTCGTAAGTCAAGGCCCCACTGTATTACAGTGTACTAAGGAGAATAATAAATAGGTGAATGAGCAAAGGAACTCAATAAGCAAAGATATGATCACTTTCTATAGTCCCCCAAGGTGAGAAGGGTGGAAATGGATCTGGGGGAAAGATTTTTCCTGGTTCCTCCATATTAAAGAATTTTGTGATTATTATCATGACAGTAAAGAATAAAAAGCATAAGTGGAATTCTCATACATTTCAGGAGGGAGTATAAAATGGGGCAAACTCTTTGGAACATTGTTTTTTAGTACCTCGTAAAGCTAAACATGTATGTTGCCTATTCCTTAGTAGTTTCATTGGTGAATTTATACCTAAGAGAGATGAGTACATATGAGCACATATGTCCACCAAAATACATGTACAAGAATTTTTAGCAGTATTATTCATAATAGCCCCATTTTGAAAATAATTTGACATTTTAACACCTATATACTGTTGAATAATCAGACAGTGGGATAGTCTACTTCAATGAAAAATAGTGAATTTATGAGTGCATGCAGCAACTGGGATTAACCTCAGAGAAAACATGTAAGAAAGTAAGATAAAATACAGCATATACTTTATGTTCTGTTTATATTAAATTCAAAAACAGAAGAATTACCTATGGGGGCAGGGAGGGTATCTGCGGCACCAACAGAGGTAGCAGAGCTATTGGTGCTAGAAATGTTCTTGGTCTGGGTGGTGATTGACAGGGAGATACATGGTTGTATATTTAAAAACCTGTCCTCTTAAGGCTTGAGTGTTTTACTATATGCAAGCTATACTGCAATTTAAAAAATTAAAAGACAAAATAAAAGCAAAAAAAAAGAAAAAGGGGTTAGTAGTCAGATAAACCTAGTTAAGAATTCTGAAAGCAGAATAGGGATCATAATACTTTACAGGCCTGATGTGATTAGAGAAAATGTGTATAAAATGGGTAGACAATGTATGGCATTTGTATGGAATCAATAATTTGCAAATATATTTTCTAGGCTAGTGCTTCGCAAGATTTAATGTGCAAATGGAATACCTAGAAATGTTAAAATGCACACTCTGATTCTGCAGGTCTGACATGAGGCCTGAAATCCTGTAATTTTGAAAAGCTCTCAGGAAGTTCCAATGTTTCTTGCCCATGGACCACACTTTGAGTAACAATAGGGAGAAATGGGGATGAATGGGGTTTATCAGCAGCGGAAAGGTCTTGATCAAATACATATTTTAAAAGATATTACTGTTAGCACTTCATAAGATAGATTATACACACACACACACACACACACACACACACACACACACAGGATCCAAGAGAGACATAATACATCCCTGAATGAAGAAAGGGGATGGGGACTATATAGGAAAAAAAAGCATTTTTCAGAATTGTCAAATCTTGGCATTTCATTGAATTTAGGAGTGATAACAGAAAGACATCCAAGTCAGCTTGAGGTTTTTAGCTTCAAAGATCAAATATATAAATATACTATAGCTGTAATTTTTTTTATCAGATCCTTTTGAATAAAATTGAGCTCCAGAACAATGGATGTCAAAAAAACACACTTTTTTTTTAGAGTTGGTCAATCTGTCAGAGAATGAACCAAGGGGAAGTACTATAGCAGGCAGATTAAGTATAGCTGTGGTAAAGAGGAAGCTATAAAGATGAGAGGTTGTTTAAGTCATCTGTGCTGTGGTAACAACCTCAAAAGTCCCAAAAGCTTACCACCACAAAGGTTTGCCATGTCACTGCTTGGTTCTGCTCCACAAGTTTTAGGCTGAAGGAACATACCCTTTCAGGAGAAAGAGAGAAATGGATCTCAAAACTTCTGCTGAAATGTAGTACCCAGAGTGCTTGCTGCTGTGCCGTTTTCTTAAACCAAGTCACATGAATAGGCCTGGCATCCATGAGGTGGGAACATACACTTGTCGCACAGGGGCCATGACAGGTCACATGGTCACAGACAGGGAAGTGGTGCCCTCTTACAGAAAGCAGTAGGGACAGGCTGGAGCAGTAATGCAATCTACCACGGGACCGTAAGCAGGCAAAGAGCCCAAGCTCCTCTGCATCCCCTTCATGCCTATAACCACCCCTAGCTCTGGATTTTTTTTAATTCAACAGTGAAATAGCCTCAGCATTAAATATTTTATTTTTAGGCAAAATGGAAAGATTTCCATTTTATCTCTTAATGAGCACTTAAATGTTTTAATGTCTACTGGGAAGGGGAGGGGGAGAAGCCAGGGTGTGTAGAAGAAAACCATTATTACTTAATAGATAATCAGCCTCAGAGTAACTACGAGTTGGCTGAATTCCCTCCTGACCTTGGCTGTATTTAGTAGGTGCCATTAGAGAATAGTGGAGCCGTTAGGTGACCCAATCTGTGTGTGCTCATGTTACTTAAGTGTCTCATGCTCTGTTGATGGGAGAATGAACATGCAAGGAGTGTTTTCATTTTCCAGGAATCCTCAATGCAGGAACTATCTACATCTTAAAGGAAACTTAAATGTAATTAACTCGTGCAGCCCAGAAATTATTTAAAATTTCAAAACTTCCAGGTTGTGTCCATTGCTGTTAGGACATTCATAAGCTAAATAGTAATTACACCAGTCAGCTCAAAGAAGAGTTTGTCTAAATTATCTGGATATTTTTTATAAAATAATTGAGATAAATTTGATTTGCAAAATGATATCTTTACCCTTCACTTTCTTCAAAACTGTTTTCTACCTATCCATGTATGATAAAAGCATGGTTTCTGAAATTTTTGCTTTTTCAAACCAGGGGTAAAACTATGGTTATGCATATCATATTTCTTTAATTTTCCAATCACTCTTTTTAACAGGACAAGAGAACGACTCCGTGAATAATGAGATAAAAATTGAGGAAGAGTCACAGAGCTCATACATGGAAACAGAAGGTACTGAAACCAGGACATATTGTTACCAGAGAATGAGATGAAACTGTGACCCTTATACAGACTTGTGTGCGAGTGGTGTGCATGTGTGTTTTTAGGCAATGATTTACAGAGAATGACAATAGTGTTCTGTTTTGTATGCCTATTAAAAATTGGAGGGCTCGGGGAGAATTGAATTAAACTTTCTATGCTTTAGTTACTGTGTTTTGTCAATGATTTCAACTAAAACATCCTTGAGTATCCTTCCTTCTCATTCTATTTAGAGCTTTCATCAAACCAAGAAGATACCACGATCGTGGAGCAACCAGAAGTGGTCCCACTAACAGATGTCCAAGAAGAAAAAGAAGGAGAAAAAGGTAGGCCTGCTCTTATATTAAACCATGAAAATAGAGAGTTTCTTTGGATTCCTGCCTAGAATTCACCATCAGAGTTATCCTTATGCAACTGCAGTCTGTTAAGGGCAGAGGGATGAACATTTCTTTAATCCTAAATCTACTTTTGTGAGTAGAATATTATCAAGTAGCAAGAGAAGATACTTGTAACAGTATTTTGTCCTTTTAAATAGTATAAGTGTTTTTTATTTAGATTCCATTTAATTTAAAGATTATGTTATTGAGAAAGCCTATAAGATATCAAAATTATGAACTAATGGATGAGTCTTAGAAAATTTTAAATGGCTATAAAACAAATGTCACCTTTAGTATTGACTTTATTCTGCCATCCTTTATATGGTAGTGATTGAAGAAACAATTTATGTAAAATATGTACATTACATGAACCTTCTAAATTGCAAGCTTTGTCTGGTAATATTAGGATGCCATAATATAGAATACTGTTAAAAATAATAGCATTATAATTTTTGAAGACATAAGAGGAATGAACACTGTAAATTTTAAAACAGTATTTGGGGCAAGAATTCAATATATTGTAGTAAAGATAGAAATCTTTTTTAAGAATCTATTTTAAAAAACCATTATCAAAGAAATTCAATATTTACTGAAGAACTTGAAGAATTCCATTTTCATATATAAAGCAATCTCTTAAAAGAAACTAAAATATGAAATATGAAGTGAAATGATTTCTCTGGAACACTATATCATAAATCATGCTGCTCTTAAATAAATATGCGTTTGCAAAGCAGTTGCAAAGTAATAACTTGACAGGCCTTGTTTATAGAACACAGTGATCAATTTTGTTTCCAAATTAAAATGCAGACATGATCTCAATTGTAAAATCAGGTCAATAGTAGCTACAGCTTCCAAATTATGAACTCTTCTTGACAGGGGCATTGATACAGTTTAATTAGTAAGCCATGTTAGTGATTATGACACCTCTTTTTTTTTTAATTTTCAATACAGAACCCACTATTCTTCCATGTCTCTGCATCTAATAGCCTTTCTGTATTGCAAATTCTAGTTCAGGCTCATGTCACCATGTTCCTGGCAAGTCAAGTACATGAGATATTTGGTGTATTTTATGTATGACGATGATAACAGACATTTGCTACAACCCTTACTTTAGCCACAGTTACCTGGCATTGCTCCCTTCAATTGTACTTCTAAAATATCAAATGCCGAGTGGTGCTTGCCTGAATAGTTTCTCTATAGCAGAAATTATTTATTTTGTATCGTGTATGTCTTGACAATGCCAATGAGAAACATTAAATGGGTATACATATTCTTTTTATTGTCCTCCAGGGAAAAAAAAACTCATGTTCAGCATACATGGACATGTCACCCTCCTCACAGCGACTTCTCTAGCATTGAGTACTCCTGTAACTACTGAGGAGTTGGTTAACTACCCACTGTTTGCCCTCCCTTGTGATGCTACCAATCTCTTCTGCAAACAGGGAAATGACATGTGAGAAAGAAATGAGGTCAACTTCTGCTACTTGACTGTCAAAACTTTGAAGTTTAATGTGTTTTGTTAAGATCTGACTTTTATCTGTAGGAGAGTAATAATGCCTGTGGTCATGAATTAACTACATTGGCCCTTCCCTTCTTTACCACAAATACTTAGATTCATCTTGCCTTGAATATTTCTGTTTAAGTTTGAAATAACTTAAAATGCATTACCTTTATTTTTTTATTATTTGCTTCAAAGCAAACTTAAAACTATTCTGTTACATATACGAAAAGTAACCAAAGGAAAATGGGGCAACGTAGATTCAGGGTGCTCTGCTCTAGCTCTGCCCCTAATTAGTAAGCTGGGTGAACCTGGACAAGTTATTTTTCAATGCCTCAGTTTTCTTATCTGTAAGATGGCGATGACAAAAGTCATATCAGTTGTGGTGAAAGTTTGAGTTAGCACATGAAAAGCTGCCAGGACCTGGGGCACAGGAAGCATGCCATAAGCATTTAGTATTTATCGTAATTTGATAAATTGGTGACAAAGTCAAGAGAATCCACATGTGGAGTTCCTCAAATACATTCATTTTCCTTCCTATTTGCATCTATATAAACTTTACATATGCTACATTATCCTTCAACAAAAATTGTTCTGCACATTCCATTTTTAGCACCATCACCTGCAGAGAGTATCAATAGGCATTATTTTATTCTATAAAGGTAAAATAATTAATAAAAGGTGAGATGAAAGGCATCTCTCTTATTCATAAAGTCCTTTTTCTTTGTCAAGATCTCAATCTTCTGTTTGAGAAATGCTGAATCAACCATAATTTTAATTTTTTTGAGAATTGACAGACAACATTATAATAATTTTGTTACCTGTTGGAAGAAGTCCTTGTCCCCACCTTTGTTCATGGGAGTGGAATTCTTGCAATATCCCAAGAAAAATAATTTTCTGAGACATGCCCAGGAGAGTCAGTAATTTTTGTTAACATAGAATTAAATCCCTGAATTTCCAAGGTCCCCTCTCCCTCAGTCCCACCATAAAAGATATGTAACTGTGGCCTTAATAGAGCTAGAATTAGAGCCAGTGTCCAGAGTTTCTGTTCCATGCTGGGTTTGTGTGTCCTGTCGCAGCCCACCAGTCGGTTTCATGTGGGGTCTGCATGGCCATGAATAAAAGGAAGCAGGAATGAGTGAGTCTCGTGAGCCCAGAGCCAGGAGAGCAACGAGAGAGTGAACTGCTTTGTTTAGGGGATTATGTGTTCCCAAATTCTCATGGGCTTGCAGTGGCCATGCCCATTCTGGCCAATTCATGGCTCCCCAGGCTAGACTGACAAGCCAATACCTTTCCTATGTCACCCCAGCTTTACTGAGCATGTGTCTATCTCCCCTTCGTTGGATCCCTTCCCTCAGTAGTCTGCATAGAATGGGTTAGTGGTTCCCTGGGGAGTGCAAAATTGCAAGTTCCTGCCCAAATGACATGACTATAATATCTGACCTTCCACTTGTTCCTTTTCTATTATTAATAACTAGCTAATTACAAAGGTATCAGTCCCCCTTTAGAGAGAACTAACCTCTTTGTAATCCTACAAAGGGCAAGTGTACAAAGGTCTCTATATCTTCTTCTAAATGCTTCTTGCTCTCAAGGGGCATAGATCTGCCTATCCCAAGGCTTAGAGTTTCTCCCCTGACAGAGAAAGAGGAAGCAAAAAGGAATGGAGTCTTCATACAGGGAAGAGAGATTTTTTACAGTTCAGGTCAGTCTAGTGTCCCTGGGAGGTGGCATAGATGATGTCCAGAGGCTAGCTTGTTGGACAAACCAGCATCCTTGTTTTATTCTAGAAGTGAAAAACTTGACAATAAAGTTAAAAGGCATAATTTGAATATAAGGGGACTTATAGTAACTAAAGGTCTGGTGAGAGGTATAAACCCATGTAATAAAGGAAATGACTAACTTGACAATGTTCTAGATTATGTTGGAGGAGTGGCTTCCTGGAGGGAGGTGGGTCGAACCTTTCTGAAGCTCTTCTGCCCATCGTGCTTAACTCAAATAAGCTAAGGAAAATGTTATAAAATTTCCCCCATGAAAAACTCTGGGCCTCTTCTGTTGGAACTATTTGGGCAGAAAGGGAAAAGCAATTTCAAGCAATGCCAATAGACTGTCCATACTTCATTGACTCAACCATAAGTCCAAACTGTTGAGTCTAATTTCAGGAGACAGTGATGCAGATGGCTTCTAAAGTCAGATTTATATTGTGTGAACAAGCAATCAGGCAAATAAGGACATACATTCTATGAAAATAGAAGACTACAAAACACAGAGGTTAATGAATACAGCAAATCATAAACCAGTTGAGAAGACTTCCAGATGCAAGGCTTTTGCTGGAATGAAATCAAGGAGTGACAACGTGATAGATTTTCTTCAGTTAGAACATCTCTGGTGATGTCATCAGGTGATGAGTTCTGTATGGCATACAAAGACAGAGCCTTAAAAACAAAACTTTGAAAACAGTTAACTGCACTGGAGTCCAATATTCTCAATTGGGTTTTCTGATTTCCCTTTGAAATGCAGTTTTACTCCCTAAGATTACCTTCATTTCCATTAAAGAAACTGCGTTAAGTCCAGTTTTAATTTGGCCCGATTATTTGCCTAAACACAACAAGAATAGTAACTGATCAAATAGATCACACAGGCTTTTTCAAATTTGCTTTGCTGGAATTTTCACAAGGAATCTTTAGATTGAGCTATATCAGACCCTCAGGGTGAAGAAGCCCAGCCACAGTTGCCATCAGGCTTTGCCTGTAATAACTGTAGGTTTGGATCAATTTCTCAAGTCCTTGAGGTCCCCAAAGATATCTTGAGGTTCCTTCCTTGCCATCTTTCAGGAAAGCAACTTTCATCCCTTACCTGGAAAGACTGCATGAACCACATGACCACACAAAGTATCAGGCCATTTCTCCAGTGGGCTTTGATTGGCTTTGGAAGTCAATATTAGTTCCATAAGGCTTTCTGGTGGCATCCGGAGTCTAGGCATGCATCTCTTAGACATGGCATTCAGGTCAAAGTCTTGGTTAAAAGAACACAGGTGAAGACTGGTCTTATTGGATTTATGCAAAGAAACATAAAGCCATGACCCAGTTATTCAGAATTGCCAAATTCTGGAGGGGTAAGTAGGGAGAAAAAGCAAAAAGTAAGCAATTATCATGTAATTATCACGTCCAAGATTGGCAAACACATTATATAACTTTTAGAAACATAGGTTCATTTACTGCCAAACACACTAACATTTTAAAAGACATACTTCCATGGATAAAAGTATCATTTAGAAAAATTCACCGATTTAACAAATCAATGAGTTAAACTGACTGGCTTAGATAGCTTTGGTTCACATAAGATCTATTTCTCAGATTCTGCATTCCAATAGATGGCTCATATAAGAGTCCTTTTGGAGACCAGGTATTAGCACTTTAGAGGCAGACAGTCCTTTTCTTGAAAAACCCAGAAT